TGGAGTGCAGTGGCCGCTCCAGGCCACCGCCGCCTCGACCCGCTGGGCTCCGGCATCCTTCCGCCTCAGCCTTCCAAGCAGCCAGAATTACAGGCGCACACTACCACGCCCGGCTAATTTTTTGATTTTATTGTAGAGATGAGGTCTTGCCTGTTGATCATGCTGCTTGAGGGTTACTACGTGACTTCTCCGTCCTCCTGTGGAAGGACATCTGGGTCATTTCTGGACTTGAACACCGTCCCCAGGCCCCACCTGTCTTCTGGGGCACCTGGACAAGAATTTCTCCAGGGTCTAACTCCAGAAAGACCCGTGAGATCTATAGATCAGAGATTTGCAAGTGGCCAGCCTTGGTAAAGGCAGGCAGAATGTTTGCTGGACAATACATACAGTGACACCTGCACTTAACACTTGGTGTCATTGAGCCGGCCAACACATTGGGAGGCCAAGATAGGAGGATCACTTGAGCCCAGGAGTTTGAGACCAGCCTGGGCAACATAGCAAGACTCCATCTCTACAAAAAAAGGTTTTTGTAAAAAAAAGCAGCACAAAGCCGGGCTCGGTGGCTCAGCCTGTAATCCCGCGCCTTTGGGAGGCTGAGGTGAGTGGATTGCCTGAGCCCGCGGGTTCGAGACCCGCCTGGGCAGCGAGACCTCATCTCTACAATAAATCAAAAAATCAGCCGGGCATGGTAGCGCATGCCTGTAATTCTGGCTACTCGGAAGGCTGAGGGGAAAGGATCGCCGGAGCCCAGCAGGTTGAAGCTGCGGTGGCCGGAAGCGGCCACTGCACTCCAGTCTGGGCAACACAGTGAGACTCCAACTCAAAAAAAAAGCAGCACAAAACCATAATAAAAAATATTGATTAAAATTTAAAAAAGCAACTAAACCTGGCATGCACTCGTAGTTCCAGTTACTCAGGAGGCTGAGACAGAAGGATCACCTGAGCCCAGGAGTTGGAGGCTGTGGTGAGCCGTGAGTGTGCCACTGCACTCCAGCAGGGCAACAGAGTGAGACCCCAACTCAAAAATAAATAAATAAAATAGGTAGATGATAGATTGATGGTAGATAAATAAATGATAGACTAGGCCCTGAGCTACGCGGTGTCCACCATGCACCTGCGATGCTCTCCCTCCACCTCCCCCCGCCCAGGTCCTTAGGGCCAAACCCTGTCCCCAGGACATCAGCGCTGTCCCCACTCTGGTCCCAGCCCCCTGCAGGCGCCACATGTACCTGTGAGTCTCGACCTCGCAGATCACAGAGCCCAGCTCCCACAGGACCTGGTGTAGCCCCTGCTCTCCATCCAGTAATTCAGCAAACACTTCTTGAGCGCCTACTGTGTGCCTGGCTTTGTATTTTGGGGCTGGAGATGCAACAGAGGCAGATAAACGTCCCCATCCTTGTGGGGCTGACATGGAGACGGACGGCGAGAGTATTAGTGACGATAACAAATAGTCTGTCCCGTGCCTTTGGGAGGCTGAGGTGAGTGAATTGCCTGAGCCCGCGGGTTCGAGACCTGCCTGGGCAACTTGGTGAGACCTCATCTCTGCAATAAAACAAAAACTTAGCCGGGTGTGGTAGCGTGCGCCTGTAGTTCCAGCTCCTCGGAAGGCTGAGGCGGAAGGATCCCCGGAGCCCAGCAGGTCAAGGCTGCGGTGGCCGGGAGCAGCCACTGCACTCCAGTCTGGGCAACAGAGTGAGACTCCAACTCAAAAAAAAAAAAAACAAAAAAGTCTCCCCTCCCGTGGGTTAGCGAACTGACCCTATATGATTTTTGTTGGGATCTGCTGCCATCTTCTGGACAGTTTCTTTCACAATGTACAAATCTGCGTTATGAGATGGGAGAGGCTTGCACAGCGCACACCCTGCCCAACTATCTGTGGCGGCTGCGTTTCCTCCTCTGGGTGAAGACGCTGCTCCCTGGGGACTTGGCTGGGGATCGCACATCCCAGCAGACGATTGTGAGTTTGGCCAGGGCTCCGCTGGAACAGGCCAGTGACCCACAGCTTTCTGGCTCTTATCCCTTACAGGTGCTGCGATATTTTGACTACGTGTTCACGGGCGTCTTCACCTTCGAGATGGTGATTAAGGTGAGGGCGGGGCTCCGGGGATGCCACCCTGGTGAGGAAGGCTCGCCACGGGGATTGGCCATGCCTGGTATGTTGGAGGAACAGCAGGGAGGCTGGGGTGGCCGAAAGAATGCAGGAGGGGTGTGGGAATGGGGTGGGTTGTACAGAGCCCGCAGGGAGGACTGGGGCTTCTACTTGGGCCGGTGGGAGTCCTGGAGGGCTTTGAGCAGAGGCGGGGCTTGGCACTGGCGGCCATGGGGAGCACGGACTCAAAGGAGAGGAGCAAGCACTGCGCCCGGGGTGAGGGGGGGCGGCCCAGCGTGGTGGTGGAGGAGTAGGAGATTGGGCGAGGTTTGCTGTGGGTCCAAGGTGGGATTTGAGACAGGCATGTGGGGGTGGGAAGCAAGCCTGGCCTAGGAACCACAAGTCAGGGCTGCCTTTGCCATCCTCCGGCCTTGTTCCCTTCCCTGCCCTGCGTGGGGGCGGTTCCCATGGGCTGCCCCTCCCCCAGAGGCTAGAAGGGTGGGTGCCCCGCCCCAGAACGGGGGTGCAGGGTCTGAGGGACCGGTCTCCTCCCCCGACAGATGATCGACCTGGGGCTCGTCCTGCATCAGGGCGCCTACTTCCGCGACCTCTGGAACATTCTGGACTTCATAGTGGTCAGTGGGGCGCTGGTGGCCTTCGCCTTCACGTAAGTCCCTCCCGAGGCCTCCCTGCCTCCCCCGCAGCCGGGGCCCCTTTGGGTCCAGGACGTCGGGGCACGGGGACACCCGCATGCCACCGGGAGGAGCTTCGACTGCTTGGTGCATGGTCTGCGCAGAGGAGGAGGGGCCGCCCTCGCCT